TCAACTGTACCAGTGCTCAAAATGCGGCAATCAATGACAACATCCAGGCAGCTCTCAACGAAAACTTTGAATCAACCGTGTCGGATTGGTATGGTACAGCAAACTTTGGAGACTTTGCCATGGATGCCAAACAAGTTGTGGACAATACCAATCAACGAGGTGATTTGGACTTTGCGACTTGTCCGTCCAGAGAAATGGTTACGTGTAACGCAGACCTTTGTCACTGGGGCTGTACGACAGCCTCTACCACCGATTGTGGTACATCGTCTCTTGTCAACTGGCGGCTTTTGGGCACCGACGTCAAGGAAAGGTTGGGAGGACTAGGATATGCATGTTTGGGTAATGCCAACAATCTCAATGTGGTCCTGGTAGTTGACGATCCAGAGGGCCAGGAAGACGACGGTAGTCTCGTGCCGAGGAGTGCAGACGCACCAGCACCAACACCCTCCGACGAGCCAGCACCGGCACCAGCACCATCACCCCAGACCGAGTTCGCCACCACGGCCAAGGTTACTCGTGACGGCGACTTTGTGCCACGCGACTTTGAAGGGTTCCCGGAGACGACGACGGACAGAAATGGTGTTTGTACCGAGCATACCGTTGTCTACGATGTGGCAGTGGATCTTCAGATGGAGTACCCTGGAGGTAATAAACAGGATTGCAGCATTAGCGAACAAGGCAACATTGACTCCGCTGTTGCCTCGGCACTGAACGGCAACTTTCTTACCACTGTCCCCGATTGGGATGGAGATGTTGGATTCGGACCCGTTAAATTCGATTCCAGCCAGGAAGTAGATAAAACAACAGGAGGTCGGCAGAGGAGAACCCAAGAGGGTCGCATGTTGGAAAGCACTTGTAAACAACAACGCGGTATTGATTGTAAGGGAGACTACTGCCGCTGGGGATGTCTCCTGGCCCCTTCGACATCCTGCAGTGTCAATTTCCTGACCAACTGGGCCAATCTTGCCGATGACATCAAAGTGGCCTTGTCGGGTCTGAACTACGGTTGTCTTGGCACGACGAGCAAGTTGGCGGTCAACTTGGTGGTTACAGACCCCAATGAAGGCACTGGAAGTGTCACACGAAGTGGCATTGATGCCAACGAACTCTTGGATCAGTGGAGTGTCAACCGTGTGTCTGAAACCAAGTTGGACCGACACCGCACCGGGACGAAGAGATTGATTTGACAGATTGCAAGGATCTCAAGATCAATGCTCAGTTCACCGTAGACTTTTTCGGGGGCACAGGCCGCAAACCGTCAGCCAATGACCTGAAGTCACTCATGGCCAACACTAGGAATTACCTTCGTGACTTGTTGGATTCCGTCAATGAATTCAAGGGTCTTGTCTGCGATGTACAGTTGAACCACCCCATCGAAGACTATGATGACGCTGCCAATGCGGATTCACTCAAGGTGCACGTCACAATCAATTCCTGGGTCAAGAACAGCTCCACAGGAACCACAGTGCAAGCACTGCACAAGATTGCCGGATCCAACTGGGAAGAGTATGTGGAAAACTATGCCCGCAACGTTGGGGACGAGTTGAATGAATTTGCCAATACCTTCAAGATTCACTTTAGGGGTGTAGCCAAAAAGGGCACCCGATGATAAGTGTAGACCCCCTGGTGAGACCCCATTCTTTAGAGATGCATGCTCATAATATTATAAAACCTGCCCCAGCTAGTAGAGATATGTCTGTTCACGCACAATACAACTGGACTGCAAAGGATCTACGACGTGAGAACGTGAGAACTGAGGTCAATCGAAAAGCTCTCGGTAATCTTTGGCAGGCATAGATCTGAAGGGTCCTCTCTCTTTTGTTATGGGCACGGCGGTACTGCTGTCACACAGGGTTTTTCCGTAAGGAAGAAAGCATCTCAACGCGATTCCAATGGGCTCTAAGAAACAAACAGTGAGGGCAAGTACGATCGTGGAACGGCATAAATTTACCCCGCATTAATGTCCCATCCAAGACAGTGACCATAAGTCAGTAGATTTTTTTAGTCCCCTTGTGCCCGAATAATGCCCGAACTACATGTTCTTCAAACATCTGCATTAAGTACTATAAAGCAATTGCTTCTTCGAATGACCTGGAAGCCCATGTCCTGTTTTTCTCCCACATCTTTCGTCCTCATAATTTTGTCCATCAGAGGTTGATTTTATTTTCGCCGTTGTTTTCTCTTGTGAAAACATTACTTACTTTTACTTTCGATCGACAAAAAAGACGACCATGACAATCCAGAGACGAACCTTGCAACCCTGTTGGGTGATCTTCCTGCTAATCTGCTGTACCAGCACTGTGTATGGGCGAGCGGGACGCAGGATCACTGTGGAAGACGATAAGAGTGGCCTGGTCCGTGGTGGAAACTTCTTTGACAGTGCCACCACCACTACAACCTTCCCGTCGTATCGAGGCGCGGGATCAGCTACACGAGAAAGCAGACCAACCTTTTGGGATGAAACAGCAGAAAACCGTGGAATAGAGGGAACAGATGATGGAAACTTGGACGACGATGACGATGATGGCTCGAATACCAATAATATCGTGGAAAATGATGGCTCAAACCAAGCCGCCGTGGTCGATCCTGAATTGAAGGCGTGGTACGAATTTGAAGCTTCCAATGCGGCTTCGGATAATGGGGATGCGTATGATGATGACGATGACAGCAACAGCAGCAGTGAGGTTGACGATGATTTGGCAAGCTCGGAATACGACGACGACGATGATGCCAGTGAATTGGGAGGAGACGACGATTACAGACCAGCCTCGTCTTCACGACGATCCAAAGTGGTAAGAGGAGTCCGTACTTCCAGGAGAAGTGCCAGCACCAAAAAATCCAGCAGAAGTGCCAGATCCAAAAAGTCTCGCAAAATTGCCACTCCGGTGCGAGAGCGACAACTCAAGTCATCCATGATGATGATGAACATGATGATGATGATGATGGGAAGTAACAGCATGATGATGATGAATATGATGATGATGCAACCTCCTCGTAATCCCATTTTCTTTCCGACACCCAACATGATGATGAACATGAACATGAGGATGATGATGCGACGACGCAGAATGAGGATGCGAATGCGCATGACACGAGCTCCCAGCAACACTTCGCCGGCTCCTTCCGTGTCATCGGCCCCCTCTTCGAATCCTACCATTAGTAGTGCCCCCTCCATCTCCCGTGCTCCATCCAATCCACCCACCACCTTGGCACCCTCCACATCCACGCAACCCTCCACGTCGCCCTCCGTTCCCACTCCCGGTCGTACACGACCCCCTCGACAACCCATGCGGATGCGCATGCGAATGCGCATGAACATGAACATGATGGCAATGAATATGGGTCGCCCCAATAATGGAGTCCCTCTTGCCGTCCAAGGAGCGCTGGAATACACGTTCTTTTCCGGCACGGGGATGAACCCCACCAATGCCGAAATCAATTCGCTCGTGGATGTGACCGAAGACTTTTACGAAGATCTATTCGATACCCGCCCATTGACCCGCAATGCCGTGTCCAACTTTCAAATGGGCAATTTGCGCGCCCGATATGCTCCACGAGGAGATTTGGATCGATTCATTTTGCGATTTGATGCGCAAATGTACGTACCGTTTACATCGGGAATATCGTCCGATGATGTTGCCCGCATCATGGCCAATGCCAATTACGATCGATACATTTCGTATTATGTCTACGAGACGGAGCCATTTACGCAGAATATCTTTTTCGAGACCAATTCCGTGGATTTTGAAGGACGGGGAGTGTCGTTTTTTTAGAAAACGAAACGAAGAAATAGTAGGATTAAAAGACACCTACATTATTAGAGTGCATGATTACATAAAAAGAAGTTTTTCCAAATCAAACAGATATGTGTACGACACGAGCGCTAGGATCGTCTCAATCAATCACAGCAAAGATCAGTGATCATGCTGTCACCGCCGCCACGGCTGGTTCTGCTAATGCTGCTGGCAGCGTTTGGTGTTGGAGCCGGGGTGGAGGTGCCTCCACTGGTGCTGATAGGACTTTCTTCGACATAATTGGGAGGAGGTAGGATGGCTCGGAAACTGCCATCATCACGATGAAGCCGAAGCACAAAGATATCCCTGATGCGATCACCAGGATCTTTACTCCTGGCCAATGACCCGGTTGTTGTGCCATAGACAATGGCATTGCCATGGCGATCCAAAGCGAGTGCTCCCTTACCACTCCCAGTTTGTCCCATAGAAACTTCTTGCCTGCCTTCTGTTAGCATTGGATTATTGACATTCTTGGCCAGCCGATCTTGATTTGACGTTCCAATTTGATGCAACCAGTTAATCTTACCATCGGATGCCCTCATCTGGGCTACCCAAATATCAGTTTCACCATGACCATCCGTGTTGACTTGCCTTCCATCCGCCAGCTCTACCGTCATGTGCCCATGGACTTCCCCCGCAACATACAAAAGATCTCTGGATTCAGCCTCAATTGTGGTTCCATATGATGGCACATCCACCAATACCTGACAGGAGAGCCCCTGGACATTGAAACCTGGAATTTGTCTCTTCCAATACGCATTCATGGTTTGCAGGTCCAACTTGATTATAACAGCACCCCCATTCCGATCACCAGCGAGCTTTCCCTGAGTAGTGCCAACAACATAGGCCACATTGTGGATATAAGGGTTGAGTATGGGATGCACCTTGGCAGTGCAAATGGATTGGATGAAATCATTGCGCCGTGGCTGGGATGCCAGTTTGAAACTCCATGTGTTGGGCACGGGCCTGGAATTAGTACCCTGATCAGGAGGACGCAAAGTTTGTCCATTGTCAGCTCTGACTTTTGCCACAAAGCCATCCCAGTCACTTATATGAGTTGCCCGTCCATTCAAGAAAGGATGACCACTCAAGGTTTGATTTGAATTTGCGCTATCGATGGCTTCTTGTGTCCCTGGTGCAGAACCTGCAATGAGCAAATATTGATCCGCTTCTTCTTCCGTCTGAATCAATTCCAAACCAGTAATCAAGACAGCATCGTATCCATATTCATGCCAGTGCAAGTCCATTTCTTCTTCCCTGTTGTGTGGCTGTTCCAACTGCTCCATTTCTTCTTCAATCAGAGATTGAGCAATCTCAACGTCGCTTAAACCGGGTGGCATACCTGGTACAGGATGAAACAATCCCGAGGTAACATGAGGGACTCCATCATTTCGCATCTCTACAATTGATGTGGGATAGATACGCGACCACACTTTAGAGAAAGGATCATCTGGGTTGTCTGTTGTCAAAAATTTGGAAATTCCCAAGTCAAGCCGGAATACTGGTCGAACCTGAGTATCAACTTGCGTCGTCACCAGAACACGATCAATGGTGGCCAAATACACAAATTGACGATCTGAAGTGCTTGCAGATGGAAGGATGATATCATTGTTGATCGGCAACAAGAGGGGGTTGTTTCCTACATCAATCGGCTCATCCAGGACCTTGAATTGGTTACTGGTTGTGACAGAAGTTTCTTCATTGACGCCATCAAAAAAGGCCAAATTGAGTTCCATCATGAAGGGATGTACTGCTCTGGCCTGCTGGTTGGTGTCAGTTCTCACAGCCAATGTGCCAGCACTGAAATAACGTTTCCTAAAATCTCCTTGCTGCGCTGTGACAAGATCACAGCGATCCAAAAGATTGTTCGTGGCAACACGGTGTAGAGCTGTGAATTCCCAGGTAGGTTGTAGTAGATTGGTGTCGGATGCATTCCCTGCTTCTCTTTCAGCTATTTCATCTACAACGGGGGGAAGCTGCACTGTTGCAATAAAGCAATCCACAGAGTTGGGATTGTCGCCACTATGAAAAAAATCCGCGTCGTGCGTGGTGCCCACAAGTACCAGAGAATCATGCTTCATGTCATAGATCATTCCTCCGGCATCACTGTCACCAGTGGCAGGCCCACTTTGGACACCCCAAACATTGGGATCATCGGTGTGATCTGGCAACTGTCGTTGATGTTGCTGGGTTCGTCTTCTCAATGAGGGAGTAAGAGCAGACGAAGAAACAGCTCCATGGGTTGCCTCCAAGGTTGTCCCGCAGATGATAAGGGCCGCAAAAATGAAAAAAGTTGGATAGCCAAGCACGCTCATTGTCTCCGCAATAATTTTCTCGGCTCTGGATGGGTCTACCTACTTTTCGGACGAGGCGAAATGGGATAAGGCACCAATGGAGGTCTCGAGGACGTCGAGACGTGTATTTGCTTCTCGTGAGTCAGTCATAACAATAATATTTTATTTATGGGGGGTGCCAACGGGGACTGAGCTTGCCGAATTTGGTAATCCAATGCCCGGCGGCACCAGAACCTGTTCGAAGCTGGAAGACCTCTTGAAAGAGCTGGAGAATGGAGATCGCGCGGCTATATGAGGACATTCGACACGAAGAGGTCACTGTGGCAAATATCAATGGCCTTTCAGCCTCAGTCCTCAGAAGCTACTTTTGTGCTTTCTTGTAGAGGGACTAGACGACCATGAGCATACGACGGCGATGACGTGACGGCGGCAACAGTTCGAACGGTGGCAACAAGTCTTTTGACCCAGGCACATCATGATTCATGTTCGCTCTGTTGATTGGATTCAATCCAATTCACAACATTTTGATGGTTGTGAGATTGAGCAAGACTTAAGCATCTGTTTTCATCCCATGGACATCCATTCTCTAGAGCCCAAATCAGGGTTTCAAGGTGTCCCTTGCTGGCTGCATTAATTAGAGCATGTCGCCCCATCCCATGGGCATCCATTCTGACGAGCCCATTTCAGAATTTTGAAATGTGCTCCATGGGCAGCTGCAGAGCATGTTGTAGAATCCCATGGGCACCCGTTCTCATGAGCCCATTTCAAGGTTTCCAAATGACCACCTCCAGCAGCCGCAGAGCATGTTGCTGCACACCATAAGAACCCCTTCTCGTGAGCCCATTTCACAAGTTCCAAATGACCACCTTCAGCAGCTTTTGAACATATCAATTCAGCCCATGGTGGGCACCCAGTCTCATGGGCCCATTTCAAAAGCTCTAAATGGCCACCTGCAGAAGCTGCAAGGCATGTCCTTTTATCCCATGGATATGAATGCAGCACTGGCGGGCCCATTGGAGAACTGTAAGACTTCCAACTTTGGCTACCTACTGCTTTGCAAACATCTCTATGCCCGGGTTGTTCTCTCAAAGTGGCCCTGGTACTGCGCCAATATCTAGCACATGCCACATTGTAGAATGCAGCAGAGTAGAGGGTATCTGTACTTTCAAGAGGAATTTTTTTGTTCCAGTGATCCTTCACCAGAGTAGGATTCTTGGCAGAATTACAATACTCCTTGTACAACTTGTTCAGTTGTTTGTTCACAGCCCCCACAAAGGCATACTGTCCCATGCCCAGAAATGGGAGGATGTTGCTGATCCAGATTTCTTTCTGGTCCAAGAAGAGGGCGAGAATGGCATGGTTCAGTTTCTGCTTTTCATTAGGGCTGCTATCGCTAGTACATGCAAGATTTGTTGACATGATTCATTCATTCAAAAGATATGTAGGAAAGGAGCTGATGATGGCAAAAAGGACCTGTTCTTGTGAAGGCAACAGCTAACTTTATGAGAGCAATTGCGCCGGCGATAGCAGGTGGACGCACCACAATCGTCCACGCCACGGCGGAGTTGTCCACGTCCATTTTTGCGTGGAGAGCAAGTCAACCCGCGTTGGAATTCGGGGATCGCTTCACCATCCCAAATGCGATGCGAAGGGTCAAGGCAACGCGAAGGTTCACACGGGACTGATTAATTCCCAGATAAGGGAAGCCTCCTCGGACAACACGGAAGATCTTTTTGATGGGAACCGTGTCAAAGCGAAGCGGACAATGGAGATGACTGTTTCTTGGTCAACTCCACCTTGTCATCCACCTTCAGATCCCATTGGAATACGGCAGACAGCATTGCAATCAGAACTCTGATCTCTGATAGCTACCTCTGATGATCCTTGAAGGAACGCTTTTTCTCATCACAATAAACCAAAACCCCCAAGAACTTGAATTTCCTCTTCCAACAATAGATTTGATTTTATAGTAGACCAACAACAAAGATGATGATGGCCAACCGCGTGCTATTCAGCAAAGGAGCCGCCACGTTGGCTCGCAGTGGCATCCTGACATCCAAAGGTGCCCTGAGTCAAGCTCTCTACTACCACACGTCTCTGCCCCGCCACAAGTCTGCTCAACCAGCTGTGGATCCCTCGTCGCTCAAGGCATCCTTTCGCGAGCGTCTCGACAATGAACGCAGCAAGGCCCTCTTGGGAGGAGGACAAAAACGAATCGACAAACAACACACCCGTGGATCGTTGACGGCACGAGAACGCATCGAATTGCTCTTTGATCCCGGAACATTCCACGAATTGGATCAACTCAAGGCACATCGATGTGTCGACTTTGGAATGGATGGCGAATCCAAACAATTTCCAGGAGATGGAATTGTCACTGGGTAAGTAACAAAAGTGCAGTGCAGTAAGCAAGAGATCTTACAATGATTTGTGATACGCAAAAAAAATCTCCTGTTCTCATTGCCATTTATTTGTCTTTTTGTGGTGATTTGCAGCCATGGTCTGGTGAATGGAAAGGTGGTCTATGCCTTCAGCCAAGGTAAGTGGGCCTTTTTCCCATGTCAAATACTACGATTTCTGTGAAACGTTCTCATGATTTTGCTCTGTTTCCCTTTCTTAAACAGATTTTACCGTCTTGGGAGGATCCTTGTCCGAGACTCACGCCGAAAAAATGGTCAAGGTCATGGAAATGGCACAACGAGTAGGAGCTCCCGTCATTGGATTGAATGACAGTGGTGGTGCCCGCATCCAAGAAGGTGTCATGTCCTTGGGAGGGTATGCCGATGTCTTTCAAGCCAATGTCGATGCATCCGGTGTCATTCCGCAAATCTCGGTCATTATGGGACCCTGTGCCGGTGGAGCCGTTTACAGTCCCGCCATGACGGATTTCATCTTCATGGTCGAACAAACCAGTTACATGTTCGTTACGGGCCCCGAAGTCGTCAAGACTGTCACGGATGAAGTCATTACCAAGGAGGATTTGGGAGGCACCGGTGTCCACACATCCAAATCTGGTGTCGCGCACGACAAGTTCCCCAACGATGTCGCCGCCTTGCGAGCCATGAGACGATTGCTGGCATTCTTGCCCAGTTCCAATGACAAGACTACACTGCCCTACAAGCCTACCGATGATCCCGCCGATCGTCCCGTTCCGGCCGTGGCACGGTTGGTACCCGATGATCCCAATACCCCCTATGATATGAAGGATGTCATTAAGGAAATTGTCGATGATGGAGAGATTTTTGAAATTCAACCCGACATGGCAAAGAACATTGTCACGGCATTTGCTCGCATGGAAGGACACACGGTCGGTGTCATTGCCAACAATCCCATCTCTTTGGCGGGATGTTTGGATATCAGTGCGTCCACCAAAGCCGCACGCTTTGTCCGGTTCTGTGATGCGTTCAACATTCCACTCGTGACATTTGTGGATGTACCCGGATTTTTGGTACGTAGAGTACAAACAGAGGAGCTGCAATGAACTTGATTCTGTTTGTTGGAGTGATTCTGCTTTTGGGGTGTGTCTCACAGCAGTGCTTCCCTTTTTCTTTTGTTGCATTTTTGCATTTGTAGCCCGGATCCAATCAAGAGTTTGGAGGAATCATTCGCCACGGAGCCAAGTTGCTCTTTGCCTACTCGGAAGCCAACGTGCCCAAGGTCACCGTCATTACCCGAAAGGCATATGGCGGTGCCTACGATGTCATGTCCAGCAAACACTTGCGAGGTGATGCCAACTATGCCTGGCCCGGAGCCGAACTGGCCGTCATGGGAGCCAAGGGAGCCGTAGAAATTCTCTACGGCGGAAGTGGCGCCGATATTGAGGCCAAATCGGCAGAATATGCCGACCAGTTTGCCAACCCCATGGAGTGTGCTCGACGTGGATTCATTGATGATGTCATTGAACCAGAAGACACCCGTAAGATGCTCTGCAACGATCTCCGTGTCTTGCGCACCAAGAAGATGCCCGATATCATCAGGAAGCATTCCAACATTCCACTATAGACAACCAACAAACAAGCAACAACCATGAAGAAACGTGGGGCTGCCTGTACATGTATACAGCAGTCCAAATAACGAGCGAGAATGTGTGCCGTCGCAAGGGCGAGGCAATTTGAACTTCACACAAATAAAAGTAGAGATTCAATTTTCATTACATCATACCTTTTATTCTGTAGGCTGGCCACGTCCAATGTTGCCATCCAGTTTAGTTTAGCCATGCAATAGCAGCACCACAATGGAGGTGCACAGTTTGTTCCCACGTACAGTGTTTCGGTTCATTCATCGTGGAGGGTTTGCCATTTCAATCCCCAGGCTCACTTCCGCTCCATAATATTATGCTCACAGTATTACAATTCAAATTTTTCTTTGCGCTTGCGTTTGCGGCGCAACACCCGATCCGAGACGCGACATTCACAAGCCCCAATGACGGCGCCTTGTTTCCCATCGGGTGATTCTTCCAACTGAATGGCTTCAATGGGTATACCCCGTTTTGCCTTGTCACAGAGTGGATTGTTGCACAAGAATACGGCCATGGATCGATTCTGCCGTGTTCGGACGTATCGATAACATCGTACTTGGGTCTTTCCTTTTTCGTCACCCCCAAAGTTGTAGACGCTGGCCAGTGTCCCCAATTCAAAGTCTGCCACTGTGTAATAGGATGCCAAATTCATTTCTTCGTGCGTCGTCAGCGCTAAATTGCGCTGTTGTCGAATTTTGAGTGCTTCCGCCAAGGGCAAACACCCCAATGCCGCTCGCAACGGCGACACGGTACACATGACAGTCCCCTCGGGCGCCGCGGCAAACCACGCCGCCACGTATCGTTCCAGATTCTTGGCATTCCCCCGTTCGCCACTAAAGACACCATTCCAATTGTCAAAGAAAATATGCGTCAAATCGGTACTTAAAAACTCTTGATGTTCCAAATCTTGCAAATTGCCGTGTCGAAACAAGACACTGCCGGGTGTAAACGTCATGCCATCGCGGGTTTGATGCGTGTGGACGGCATCTTGGAGTCGTCGGGCGAGTATTTGAGCGACGGCATTGCGGGCCTTGTCGCATTCAATGCCCCGGGCTTTGCATCCAATGGTGTATGCGGCTTGGAGACAGGAATTGCCAATGCCGTGACCAATGTCGACGACCGAATCGGTGGGTTTCAAACAAAAGTAATGTCGCAAAATCTTGTCCATGGCGTGGGGTAGCATGCGCCCGTAGACTTCGGTGGCCGTGGAATGGGGTTTAATCTGAATCAGGCGACTGGATTCCATATCTTCCATGGTAGCTCCCCCGTGGACTTGTTCCGTGTATGCCAGGAGTTGGAGGAATTGGTTGAGTGTATACGGAGCAGCACTGGTCTTGGGATCATTAGTATGGTGGTGGTTGTAGTGCTGGAACAAGGTGGGTGTGGATAGGGTAGTCCGAATAGCTGGCGGAATGTGGAACATTTCGTAGGCAATGATCCATAGATCTAGGGTTTCGTCAATGCGGAGATCTTCTTGTTCCTTCTCGACGAGTAGATTGTTGTTATGATAATACCGAATGGTACAGTATTTGAGTATACCCCGTTTCTTGCTCTTTTTGCTCTTGGCCTTGACGTTGATAATTACCCCATTGCACCAGATCCCCGGCGAAAAATGCTTGCGGATCGGAACACCCACCAAGCCTCTCTTGTCTTGAAGTTGATGAATCGGCATCCACAGCAAGTTGGACAACACCGAAGAGGAAGACAAAGAGTGGGGCTGAAGCTGCAGCTGTCGTTGACACTCATTATGGGTACTATTGGCTCCCTCCTCTTCCAACAGGAATTGGGACAGGCTCACTTTCCGCTCCTTCATAGTTATCTACTAGCTTGTCCCTTCCTGCTACTCTCTCACACTCTTTATTACAATGCGAGGACACAGGCCAACAGCCGATGACATACCACCGGTGCTGCAAATAATGGTGGCAGAGCCGACATCAGCCGATTGCATTGGCTGCTGCTGCTCCATCGGCGTCTGACGCAGAAAGATGAGGTATTTCCAAAATGTTTACCCTTCTCCCGGATTCTTGGCTTGGCATTGGCATTGGTTGCAGAGCACGTGCCTGGATTTCTGATTGAACCTACAACAAAAATGTATCTCCACAAACAGGCTGTGGGGCCTACTAGCTAGCTAGCACATAATCTTCTGTATTATAGTTGGCTCTCACATCTTGGGAACTCTGGACTTTAGTAGCATCTAACTTTGTTTGGAGTCCAAATGTGCAGATATATCAAGCATACAATGATGCCACATCTATTATAGCCAGCTTGGTGTGTGGGTGGGTTGATCTCAGAGCACGTGGTGAAGATGGTATCTGGACCAGGATTGCGGTTGTTTGTATAACAT